GTATTTAAAGAAATATTATCAAAAAGCTATAAGATAGGCATTCATTTGGGGCAGCAGAAATGTTTTCTTTAATTAGAGGTGGTCTTTCATTGGAGGCGTCTTTATAATTAGAACAGTCCGAAAAAAAAGGAGAGAAAACGCTAAAAGCCTAGGGGTCACCAGGTACAGGTATAACCACTACTGTATGTCACATTCCAACACATCTAGCTACCCTACCACAATGCCATTATTTTTGTTTCATTATCCTTCAACAAAGATATAAATCGATAAGTTCTCTGGAAATTCTTCAAAACATGATTAAGTGAAAAGAAAAGCAAAAGGTAAACCAAGAGATGAAATATAATAACAGCCTTTCCAATAATGGAGAATACTGAAGAATCTAACATAACAAACGGAATGCCTTAAGCAAACTACGACATAGCAAAACAGATCATACAAACAATAGAGATCAGGACAAAGATAGCATGAGATAATGTTATAAAGGTGTTATTAAGAATGATATTAAAATCAAGAAGTGCTGCAGTGCCTTGGCTTGAGTGCAAATGGTTGAGATTGACTTTGATGTATGTTCATCACATTGGATACTATATGGATACCTGGATTGGATTTATTTGGTGTAAACACCAAAGATAACCAACAGAAATCCGACAAAGGGTACAGTATGTTCACAGACACGGTGTAAGCCTGGCGTAGCGCAAGCCTTTATGTGTGAACTCGGCAGTGGCATTACTTACACTACTAACAACACCACCTCCGTGGCATTATTAACGTTACCTGCAGACCCCAGATTAAAATGCCATAGAGCTACACATGCCAATGATGCCTGAATGATTTGACCTCATTTCAAGAGATTGACCAATCAAAATTGCAATACTGTAGATTAGTTACTTTGATCCCTTTCCTGTGGTCTCTATAAATGAAATGGTAAAGGATTCTTTTTCTATTGCATTTCACTTATGTATGATCTGTTGATTGTGTTTTGTAAGATAGGCCTATTTTAACCTATTTAGACTGTCTATTAAAACCTACAACACCAACAATTATTCCACAATGCTAGCTGAAAAATCAGAAGTAAAATTGTTCTTTTAATATACAGTAATCATATAAGTTCACTTCCAACATTCACAGATGTAAAAGTTTTAATGATGCACTATAACTCGTATATTATTTAAATCTGAAAACTATTCCCCCATACTGTAGGCCTATATTAATACTAGTTTAACTCTAGTGTTAATATAGCGAACGCCGTTTGTGTGAACACTTTGGTATTTTAATCCGTGGATTAGCTTACACCGGCGTAAGCTACACCAGTCTTACGCCATATGTGTGAGCATACCCAAAGACGTATATCTCCAGTGGGCTGGTGTACGTCTGGCGGTGATTGACCAGTATACTCGGAAGACTAACCCCTACTCTTTTCCCAAGTATGGGCCCTAAGTTGCACATAAGACCAGTGGCTTCAACATTTCATCCAAGAAACAAAAAAAAAGGTTTTTATGTATTCGCATTTCTGCCCTTCAGCTGAAACACAAGGAGAGGCTGAGAGCAGCGGATAGAATTGAATCGGGAACTACAGTACATGCTTCGAATTAGGCATAGGTTGCGGGGCCACTTGTGCTTGGCGCCAGGAGATGACTGTCCTATTATTTTTCGAGGGGTATTTCTCGTGTGAGAAAGAATAGGCAATTAATCGGTTTATCCAGGTAAGTATGGCATAGGCCTACAGTTCTGAAAAATTGCCATTTAACTAAAGAGATTCTCCTGGTATACTGTACAGTAAGCCCACCAACCCCAAATTAGCCCAATTTTGTGTTCAAGGGGGGGGGGGAGGGGTGTGGGNGGGGGGGGAGGGGTGTGGGCTTTATTTAAGATCAAATTTTCATAGATACTGTACTTTGATGAAAACCTTTTATGTTCTCTGTGCAGCCAGTGTTTCAATCACTGTGTTGTTTAATGATTTCTTCTATTACAATATCAAAACTTAGTATTCAATGAATAATTTGTGATACTAACCTTGTGTTACCTACAAAGATACTATCTTTGTTGGTAACACATTTCACTTTTAAAGTCATTATATTTTTGCTTCCTGAGTTTAATTGTTGTTCTTTCATTTTTCTTTTGTTAACAGCTCAGGGCCTTCTGTACAATCATGGATGAGCTCCAGCTGTCATATTTTGTACGTAGGGAGTTTTCAGAATGTAAACATAAATACAGGTACATCACAATTTACACACTTAGCTCCCCCTATTTTGAATTGTTGTTTTCAAGACAATTCTGGATGCATACAGTAAAGTTTAGCCAATTTGTGGCAAAGACAAGCCAAACCAATCACTCGTCGCAAAAACATTTTTGAGTTATTATACAGAGTTCAAAGTGTAAAATAAGAGCTATAAAATGGTGAAGAAATAATTCAAATCCACATTTCCTTATGAATTAACAAGTGTTTAAACACACAGTTCTTTAAAGAATGATATGAGGAATCAGAGCCTTCAAAGTTGATACTGCGGGCATTTCTCATGCAGAATCATACAGTATCATCAAATCCTTTAATAAAAAGTGTTTTAACATTGAAAATTGGGGAAACAACAGCATACTGTAGCATGATGTATAGATATACCAAGGTTTAGTTTAGTGCAATACAATAATTTTTTTTAAATTTGACATTCAACCATGTTTTGGCCATTTTCTCTGAAACATGATTTGCGACGAATGACTGGTTTGGCTTGTCTTTGCCACATTATATACATACAGGCCCTTGCATCATATGTTGCGAATTTTAAAACTCCCTACTAATTGACTAATCTAATATTGGCATCTACTGAACAAAATCGTTTATTCATGTAAAAGGTATTATTGTACTACGTTTGTGATAGGTTGCTACTGTAGGGAAAGGATTGACTAAACGATTGATGACGTAACCGTATTCGCTATCGTTTTCATAAGCTTGCGAAACTTCCCTATTGATTGAAATACAGTTACTGTAGACTGACACAACACAACAGTAATCAGAATACAGATTACTAGGGAATGTTACTTTATATGTTTCTTATCTATTCAGTATTTAAATATTTCTCTTGGCAAAATGTTGTGCGACATTGAATCGATGGTCTGTGTACTGTGCAACATACAACTATACGGCATGATTACAGTGTGCATACAGTTTTCCCCCAAGGGAAGTAGGAGACGTTTGCATTTTGAACATGATTATACATATTATTATGAAACCATTGGTGACCAGGGATATGTTGCAAGTGGTTTCATAACTTTCTTCCCATTGAAATTTATATATTTAAATTATTAAATTATTTTATAATTTAATTTAAATTAACTGTAATTTCAAGATTAGGTAGTTTATATTAAAATATTTCTGAGTACATTATTTAGGTCCAAAGACTTATATTACAATGATACTGTACTGTACTGTACTGTACATCTCGAAGTTGCAAAATTCAAACGCGGATACTATTCAGAAAGGTGTCATGTTGTTTTCTCATTGCATAACCAAATAAACCCAAATTTTCATTAAGGAAAAGATTATACAACATATTGTAAAACCTCAAATAGAAGCCCAATGGGCTTAAACTTGAGAAGAAGTTCATCTCGAATTGAAGCCCTCCTTTTTACAGTACTTTAAAAGAGTAGTCTCGAAAAGTTTGCTAAAATACAGAAGCCCAGGGCTTCTATTCAAGCTTTATGGTATATAACAAGTTAAAAATGTTGCTTCAAATTTAAATCTCTTATCAGTATAGCAAAGGGGAAAAAGATTCAATCTGTGAAGTCTTTGACTTTGATAAACCCATAGTACAACTTGGCTTTGTACCGCAAAGCTTACTGATTACTAAATTAGTTTGTCAGGCAAATACTTTACTGGTGGTAGTATTATTGTGACTGGTGATTAGCTAAATATGTGATTCACATAAAGAACAGCTGCTGTGAATATAGGGACTGCGTAAAAAGAGGCAAAATTATACTTTGCTACCTCGTTTACATTTTCACCAACGGCTACGAAGTGAAGACACAGACAGATAATAAAATTAACAAATATATTGCAAAACAGGAATGTACTGTATTATGGTTCTTAAAATAAACCTACAGTATGCTATTGGTCTATGGGAAATACCAACACGAAAATATTGGTAACCTGGACAGCAACCATAAATAATGCTGGGGTCCCAAGTTGTGAGAAATCACTTCTGGGATTATATACTGTATATATGTCTTTAATTTAATTAGTTTTTTAACACATTTAATTCTATTTTGCTGTGCATGGTGATATCCATCAGCACTGAATCCTGTGAGACAATTGATTATAGTAAAAATATGCAAATATTATGAATTGCTTGTGTGAGGGTATTTTTCGGGAGATTCTTGCTTGCTGTGGACCCCTGATTAATGATCCACATCTCAAATCAATGTTGTTTTGCTAGCAATGTTGTAGCCATTAAATACATTAACGCTGTGTTTAATAGTAAACAAGTACAGTCCATACATGTTGGGTAAATGCAGTGTATACTAAAGCATATGGCGTTAGGAAAATTTTTCACGATAGGGTCTGAACCTTATATAATTAGTTAAAAGTTAACAAGTGAACTATAAAATTAAGATTGTAATTTCATATTTCACCAAGTTTTGAATATGAAAATAAGGTTCATCTCATTTTAATCCATTTCATTATTTATTTGGTCATTTACAGCAACTACAAATCTTATCTTATAAATAATCCCCTGGTCTTTTGTGAAAATTACCATTTTTTATGTTTGGTTTTTTGAGTAATGCTTATGGAAGTGGGATATAGTCAGGCCCCTTTAGACCATATATTTCCCTGTGCCGTAAATTTGTTATCACATGAGTATGGATTACAGCACCATATCTTTCAATTAAATTAATACAGTATGAACAACATGAATGAATAGCATTGCTAATGTACTGTATAAATATTTCACATTAACTGTACTTTCAATTTATATGTGATCTATTGTATACTATAACAATATCCTTACCCATATTGAATAGCTTCCTTAGGACTTGGACAATCCATTCCAAAAATCTCCTGTTCAGTGGAGATAATAAAATTTAAAACACTAGTTGTTTCCCAGGATGCATTTGGGTCATACACAACGTACATGACTTCATCCGCTTTCTTGCGTAGCATTTCAAATTCAGCCGTATCTTTAGCGTAGTTCACCAACGTGCTGTCTTTTGAACATGCAACCTTCAAACTTAATGATTTCCTTTTCCCAGGTGCTGGATCATTCGCACAAATATCAACAGTAAGTTTGAACAGACAAGTCTGATGTCCGAGACAAAACATTATAGGATCGCAACCAGTCCGAGTCAACAAACTCTTTTGTAATCCATCAATATTTTTAAACAATTCTGAATTTGAATCTATACTTTTACCAGATGTGTGACGTAGGAATGTTGCATATGATTTATCCTCTTTTAGGCCAAATCGAAGTTTATCTTTTAAAGTTAATGTATCTGTTAAGCTTGGCCCAAGTCCTAATGGTTTAACAGGAGATGATCCCGTACCGAAAGTATACGAAAGTTTAGATATATAACTTCCTCGTGGACACGTGAAGTGTACACGGTTATTTTCCGACCACCTATACGTCACTTCAAGTTCTTCACGATACATAACTTTCTCATATTGTACTTTAGGTTGCTTCGGTGGTGCATGACCCGGTGGTTTTTTATGTCCTTTCGCAGCACCTCCCATCTGCTCCCCATTTCCCATTGGAGGCATTGCTTTCCTAATATCTCCTTTGCCATTTGGTTTCAAACCTCCAAGATCTCTCCGTGGTGCCATACGTTGATACACATTAGGGTTAGCAAATCTCTTGTTTTGCCCACCATATATGGGTCGGTTATACTTATTCCCATTACCTTCAAATGGATACGAACCAACCGATGCAATTGTTAAGCACATCAATATAGTTTTCAGGCAAAGAGGCTCCATTTTAAAGACGACAACCATCGCTACAATACAAACTTTTTACCTACAACTGTGTAGCCGGATGTATGATCACCCTCGTCACACACGCAGCGTTCAAGTAGCTGTTGTCAACAAACCACTGACTGTGCCAGAAGAAAACCCTCTCATAAATGCACCGCACAAGTCTCTCAGTTTAAACGCTAAGTATTAACTAGACTAGGTTTTGCACAAGATAAACGCCATCGTCAATCAATGTACCTCAGATGGGCTAGGCTTACGTGTCAGCTACAGCAACATTCCGAGCAACGGGTGTCAAACATAGTAAACTTTCTCGCGACAGCCATCGAGTTTCACTCTCTCGTCCGCGAGAAATAAAATTGGTATTTTGATCAAATAAACCCCCTAAGCTTCTATTAAATATATACTTTTTAATTGTTCTATGCTTTAGAAATTGAAGAGTGCCATAGTAACTTCAATTAAAAATTTATTAATTAATTATTATTTATAACATTTTATTAGGTATCCTGTATTTATGTTACTAAATTGTGTATTGTATAATAATATTTTTACAAAGCTAAAAGGTAAAAAATGTTGAGAAGCTACATGGTTGAGGGCGTCAACACAAGTTTTGTTGTTTTCGCGCAACAACAACAAAAAAAGTGGTGAAGTAGGCCTACTGTATCTACCTAGGCCTGGGCAAGGTTTCCTTTTGTTCGTCATTAAAAATATAATAAGTATATGTTAAATTGAGGTTCGCTCATTTTGCTATATACTCCTTTAAGCTTTAGTGATGTAGGCTTTTGGCTTATCCTCCTAGGCCTAGTAGTACGCCTAGCCTAGCCTCCTACTACTAGGCCTAGGCCTCTAGCTAGGCATAGCTAACAACAGTAGTCTAGCCTTGTAAGCCTAGTACTAACGTCGCCACTGCCTAGGCTCCATATTGTTGCATTGTAAGTGGGTGAAAATGTTTGTGCATCTCCCACCCCCATGAAATATGCTGAGCATTAAATAAACAATGAACACAAGTTTCCATAATATTATTAATATAATGACTGTAATATTATAAGTAGGTACCTGACAAGAAATTTCAAACTTTACAAAATTGAATAATTTATACATCAAAACATTTGGCAAATTATTTGCAATTTATTAGTAAAAAAATCATAAAAATTGACCAAGTAGAGAGAGCAGCTTAGCTCAGTCGGCTAATCTGGTGGTAGCCAATGTGTGTGTGCTGAACCGTGGAGATTTCTAGGTCCCTGGTTCAATTCCCATCGCTGCCTCTCCTTGTGTTTCAGCTAGAGTGCTGAAATACAAGTTACAATAGCGCACCGTCTTTCAGATGAGACGTTTAAGCTGTTGGTCCCGTTTGCATTTATGGCCCATGTGCACGTTAAAGAACACAGTACACTCTTCGGAAAAGAGTAGGGGATTGTCTCCCGGTGTACTGTCCCGTCACCACCAGAAGGACCCCACTGGAAATAGGTCTTCTTCTAGACTTTCGTGGGCTATCCTTGGTGTTTACACTGAATAAATCCAATCCAATACCTTAAATTTCTATAATTTTTTATGATATTTAATTAATTAACAGTTTAAGAATAGGCGTTTTAATGGTAAAGACAAAAAATGTTGTGGCAGATGGGTGTGAAAATTGTATAAAATAATTACAATCCTTATTCTTGCTGTAGAACTTAATAAATCCAAATATCTCTGATATACTGTTATAAGCCTCCCGGTACATTTCCAGGACAAACCCCTCGCCTTCTAATATACTTATCATAAACAAATACCTAGATATAAGTGACAAATAGTACCTAATGTATCAATATTTAATGATATATCTACTATTTGTAATATCTTTGCATAAAAATACACAATGAATTCAAGTCTTTACCATGAACAGAAATCGCTACGTATAACACTGTGTTTTGCCTACATGGCGATCAGGACCTAGGCATGTATTTTTGAGGACGGCCTAAGTGCACCTTCCCGTTCATATACTTGCACCAAACTTCGCCAAATGATACTTTATAACATTAAGTTTATGAACCATAGTGGAAAATAATATACCAACTTATCTTCTATGAAAAAATAACGTATTTTGTGATGGTAAATATTCAGATGTCTGGCTCTCACCATAAACGGATTTGGAGGGGAAAAAAATACACACAGTGGAGAACAACATCCGGTTGACATATTGACATCTTAATCCCAGCCTAACTAATCAACATAGCGATTTAAAAATAGAACAAAGACAACCCTGTTACCCGCTGCAGTATCCTAAGTCACACTTATGTGTGGACATTGAAAGTGGGCATGGCGTCATTCATCGCAGGTACCTATAATAAGCCCTTATCATCTTCCTTATTTCCCACACTTTCCCTCTACACCCCCACACGATAAACTAAATTAACTGTTTTTTTCCTCTTAAAGGTCATATAATCTGTGTGAAGGAAAACCAAACAGAAATGGAGTCATTGTATTTCAAATTCAATGAGAAGGACCTAGAGATACGAGACATGGAAGAAGCTGATTTTGACAAAGCCATAGAGCTATTTGCTGAAGGCGAAAAATATGTTTACATTTCATTTAGAGGTGTCATGCATTTATTGAAGAAAACAAAGTTTCTTGTACCTACTGTAATATTATGTGGACTTGTTTATGCAGGAAGCCAATCAGTATTTTGGACACTGGGAGCATTTTCTCTGTACTGTTTCATGCTTTATTTATTATTGACAAGGATGACAAACAATTACATCAAGAAGGAGACAAAACAGGATAAAAAGGGCCTGAAAGAACATTTAGAAAATATGAGATGTTGTTATAAATTAGCAGTTTATAAAGGAGACATTGTTGGATCAGTGTGCATCTCAGAGATGAAATCTAAACCTTTAGTTGCTGAATGTAGGCGGTTATATGTGAAGAAGAAATTCAGAGGCTTAGGAGTTGGGAAGAAGCTTTTAGAAATAGCATTAGCATTTAGCAAGAAGTACAGATTCAAACACGTTTGCCTAACAACTTCCGCTTTGCACAATGAGGCTAGACAACTGTACAAGAAGTATGGTTTCAAGGAAGAGGGTTTGGTTGCAAATGAGTTGGTTACTCATAACAGAATGTTTTTAAAGTTTTAAGAAAATTCTTGGACTTCCCTGTCTCCTTCCCCCTCCTCTACTCACTTTGAGGTTGAATATTTTGTTGAAATAATTATGTATTCTTTAAAAGATAAAGTTAAAGGTAGGAGAATAACCCATAACTCCCTGCGTCATTGTGCTGAATTGCGTATGGGGGTGGTCCGTGACTACTGTACCTAGCAGCCGTAAAGAGGCCCTTATAGTAGGTACATTTTCAAATCATTCCACAATGACATGGGCTGAAATGAACCATAACTTCAGGGTTACCCACTACTCTTCCGAAAGATGCAATGGGTTCTTTAAGGTGCACACAAGCCAGATGTATACACTGGGCCTCCATTTTAAGTCCTTATCCTAAAAGACTTTGTTGTACCAACCAAAACCTGGGCGAGGAGCGGATGGAACCAGCGCCGATGATGAGGCTGTAGTTTAGCAGCTTCCCTGCATTACCGCTCGGCCACTCGACTCGCCACATAAAATATTGTGAAGTGCTAGATACAATGGTGTTTATATCCTAAAGGGTGCTTGATGTACAAGATTCAAGATTAATTTATTCATTGTCATGTGCAATATATACAGTATATGAAATTTTTTTCTTTGAATGAATACATAAATACATACAATTATATATATATACATATATATATATATATATATATATATATAATGTGTATGTATTTATGTTTGCATTGGAGAGCCACTAGACAGTGATTCAGTTCACTTTTTGTCAATCCTCTCCGGCCAGTTAAGTGAAGTTTTTTCCTTTTTCTTTTATGGTGTGTGTGTGTGTTTTAATATACTTTGGACGTATTAAATAAAATGAAATGAAATCACAATTTGAACAGGGAGAGAATATGGCTTAGATTATTGAATTATGTTATGTCGGCTCTGAATTGTAATGATCTGCCATGTTCATTAAAGGCTCTTATTGCACATGGTGATAGGTATTTGGTGGTTAATTTCTTTCAAAGTTGGAACCATTCTGTCTGATTTGTTAATTTTTATCAATTTATGAATTGGATAGGTACTACTTAACTACTGGTAACTGATTTGGTGTTTTTTTTTTTTAATATTATGCAGTGTTTAGCTTTTTCAGTTTCTTTTGGTTTACAAAACAGTTTGTTTTTTTATATAGTTATTTTTACACATTTTATTTATCGGTGAAGGACTAGGAATTGTTGTGCCTAAGCACAGATGTTTCCCTGAATAAGAAATAATGAAACAAATTTAACTTCAGTGTGCTTTTTTGCCATTCACGTTATTGTACAGCCACGCTTCCCAATCTATGGGTGGTGACCCAAAAATGGGTCGACAAACTTTTGCGTTGGGTTGCGGGCCAGTTTGCCAAAAAAAAAATTCAATTTATGTGCTCATTTTCAGAGAGTTAATCAGGTCTGAAGACTTAAAGATGTATTGTCCCTTGCTAATGTCAAAAAATCATAAAAAAATAATTTTGAAATAAACTTGCTCATATTGCAATTGCATACAAATTATTAACTTGTGCATTAAAACTATTGAATTAAAAAAAAATGTGTACCCTGATTTTTAAACCAAAAAATTATAATTAAAATAATAAAACGCTTCCAGAGACCGGAAGTGTTTCTATCATTTTTCGCATTTTTTAAATACACTAATTTCTATGTTTAAGTTGATAACTTTTATGTTACTTCAAAATGGGCTTGTTAATTTCAAAAAATATTTTTTATGATTTTTTTGGTATTTAGCATGGGGACAATTCATCTTTAAAAACAGCATGTTTAGGTGAATCCTCATCAAAACAATGTTTTATTATATACCCACAATGAATATTCTGAAATTCATATGACTAGTATTATTTTTATGTTGCCGTTTACCACAACATAATTGTGTAAATCTAAGCTTTCAACTGCTGGAAAAAAGGGGAAAAAAACAATTTATAAAAAATAAACTGAAAACAGAAAATTACTGTAAGGTGACCTAAAAATAACATTATCCAAATGAATTTCAAATATGTAACTATTGCAAATGCAAACAATAATATACCAAAAAGCAAAAAAAAAAGTACAGTAGTAACCAGTGCAGTGGTGTATACTGTGGGTGCTCGGGTGTTCAGAGGTTGAAAAAAAAAGTGCCCCTTCTTAATTAATGTTACAGTATATGCCATTTTCCGGCATTGGGAAGTCACAAATTGTTACAATTGTCTAACCTCAGCCTCAACCATGGTTAGCTGAGGTGGATGATAGTTTCCATAAACTTTAGTTATCCAAGTGCCGTTTTCAGGCATCTATAAAGTCTCAAATTCTTAAAATACACTCACTTGCACCCCAAAACCAGGTAGATTTCGTATTATTCAAGTGCTATTTTCTAATATCTATAAGTCTCAAATTATTTAAATTTTCCAACCATGGTGGGGCTCAGGTGAATATGGTAGATTTTAGAATTGTAATTCTTTAAGTGCCATTTTCAAACACCTATTTATTTATGCAATTCGGATTTATTTTTACTCATTTTGTCAAAAATAAAAAGAATTAAAAGGTAATTTAAGTTCCATTTTCGGGCATCCAGGTACAAAATACTGAAAATTTTCTAACATCACCGCCAACCAAGGTGGAGCTGACGTGGTGTAGACTCTCATTCCATTAGTGCCTCCCCCATCATTCCCTAAATCCTTGATAAGCAACTGGTAACCACAGAGTTAAAATTTAGGTATAAAATCCATGAAATTCAATGGTTGAAAATATTTTCTGCAAAAAATATTTTTGTTTCAAATGTTAAAAGTTGTCTCACTTTCCAGTGACTCCCTCAGCCTCCAATTAAAAAAATGATAGAGAAAAAAAGGAAAATTATAATCAAATTTAATCTGAGAGTGCCATTTCCAGCCATTTATGGGTGCCATAATCATATAATTTCTTACCCCAGCCCCAACCATGGTGGGGCTGAGGTGGATGGACCCTCTATCTGTGAAAAACCCTCAGTTGCCATGGGTCCCCTCTATTACCAAATCCTGTATCCACCACTGGTTTCTCAAAAGAGAGATTATTATGTAAACAATAATTGCTGTAATACTAATGTCAGATATTCATTTTTTAAAACATAAAGCATCACATTTTTTGTGATAAGGTCGATGTGCAATTTACTATGACATTTAATATTACATGGGTCGCGGATTGTCTGGGAAATCACAAATTGAGTCCCAGAGAAAAAAGTTTATGAAGCGGGGTCGTATAGTACCTGCGAGAGAATTGCCAAATAAATTCATTGAATTAAACAGAATTCATCTGCATTTTGTGTTTGTGTTTGATTTATAAAATGGTTAATGATTGATTATTAATTCACTTATCACATATTTAATGTCACCGTTACCTCTAACGGTGACATTAAATTGTGATTACTGCCCATATTGGTGATATTATTAACGGTGACTAAATTGTGCCTGTACCATCGTGATCACTACCTATAACGGTGACTAAATTGTGCCTTTACCATTGTGATCACTGCCAATAGTGGTGACATTAAATTGTCTGTACCATCGTGATTACTGCCGATAATGGTGACAATAAATTGTATGTGTACCATCGTGATTACTGCCGATAATGCTGACATTAATTGTGCCTTTACCATCGTGATTACTGCCTATAATTGTGACATTAAATTGTGCCTTTACAATGGTCAGTGGCGGAGCCAGCGTCTGAAGTCTGGGAAATTAAATTGTGTCGTTACCAGCAACTTCCACCATATTTTGGCCACCCGCATATGATATCATTCGTCTGTATCATTGTAAGTAAAGGTAAAGTAAAGGTTCGAAACCTGAAGCAGGCCGGAGTGCCCATCTCTCTTACTTTAGCGTTTGGGTCAGACTGTGCAAGGCTGGGGGGGGGGGGTTCGCCACTCCTCCCCAGTGGCTAGTGGAATTTATTTTCGGTGCCCACGCCCACTGAAAACTATTGCTTCTTAGATTCCCGAATACACGTTAACCGTGACAGCATAAGCCTAGCCAAATTTTTTTTGTTTCGAAGTTTTCAATGGGGGCGACTGGATACGCCACTGCTCCTCCCGCACTGCAGTCTGTTTTACCTTCCCAGCATATGCTGGTACCCATTTATACACCTGGGTGGAGAGAGACATATGTAGATAAAGTGTCTTGCCTAAGGAAACAAGCGACTTGCACAGCGAGAGTTTTGAACCCCTGACCTCAAGGTTGAGAATCCGAGCCACAACCGTTGCGCCAACCGCTTCTACCATCATTGGTACTGTATCATTGTATCACACCATATCATTGGGTTACACTCTCGTAGTGCTACCGTCCGATTTTTCCCCATCTCTTGTTTTTGTCAGGACCACCAGGCTAGTAGGTAACAATCTTTGTTTTCAGTCAATGCAACCTTTATTTTCCGTGTTGTTTGTTCGTTGTTGTTGTTTACTTTTTAGGAATCCTGTTTGTGTTCGTTTTTTCTTTCATTGTGCATGTTTTTACAATATGACCTGTTGTATTTCTTGTGAGGCATAATAAATGAAATGGAAGAAAATTAAATGAAATTAAATATTAAAAAGACAGATAAAAGTTAAAAGGCCTACAATATTAACAATACTGTACATAAAAACTAGTTAAAATCTAATATCCAATAATGACCAATGAACCAGAATTACTATGAAATCAACAAAAAAAAAAATAAATAAATAAAATATTAAATGGAAATCATCACATTATTGTGTTAATGACCCCTCTCTAATTTATGCATCCCTTGACAGCAAGTAATCATATGATCAGCATTTTAGCCAACATGGGCCTATAAATAGATGCCTATTTTTCTGTATGAATTGATTTTGCAATAAGGATCTGTAGAGATGAGAACAAGACGACATAATCAATCGACTGATTATTTCGGTAATTCACAAAAACGAGATAAATAATATTTTTTTCTATAAATTTTATTTTACAATAAGGATTTGTAGATTTAAGACGACAAAGTCAATCGACTTTTTTTGGTAAGTTCACGAAAAAGAGAAATTAGAACACGACATATTTACTTTTGTGAAGTAGCCCTGATGTACAGTCCTCTGTCAGTAATATCAATTAACCTGTTTCTGAAGTTAATCAATTAACTTCTAGCCTAATAACCGAGTAAATGCGTCATTGACTTCGTCATCATTGGTATTTTTCTATAGCAAGTTCCCACTCTGATTCGTAAAATTGTTTGCCTTCTCCTTTTTCCCATCTACTCATATTCAGAGAGTCATCTTTGTATCAATCCACTGTCTTACTTTTAATTCGTCTTTCCATTACATTTCTTTTACTGTGTATGGTACTGAATACCGAAAACTGTATTTGTTGAAAGAAAAACTATCAAGTCTTTTATCTTCATTTTCTCGTATTATTATTTAGGCCTATACTATTAAATTCGTTTCATTTTTATTCATAATCAATAGGTTATATTTGCATTTCAGAAGAAAAAAAAAAAGTTATATTTTATTGAAAAATGAAAAGAGGCCTGTATAGGGTCCGAAGACACTTAGGCTCAGGCCTAAGTGTCAAATAATTGTATGATACAAAATGAAGACATACAGCTGGACAGCCTTGTAATGATTATCACTGCATATTTTTTATAGCATTCAATGTAGCACTAGAGTAGCAGCCAGGCCTGGAAAAATATTTTTGTGCCTCCGCCCATGACAATTATCTTGATCTATATCCATGGTGTAAGAAGTAGAAAAGCCTATTATTATAATTATTATGAGGCGCCAAATTCACTTTCATTATTTAACAAAATTATATGTAATTCATTATTTAATATATAATTCAACATTTTTTTGTTATATACATATAATTAGTTTTGCTTCCAACAATTATATATAAATAATTGGTAAAGCGATTTTCGTTATTTATAAATAATACGACATTAAAACAATTATTTATAAATAATGACTATGAGTAAAAAAAAACAAAAATTTTCCTTATTTATAAATAATATGATGTTAAAATAATTATTTATAAATAATGACTTTGAGTAAAATCATTATTTATATATAATGACTATCGGCATTTCAATTATTTATAAATAATATTTGGCTATTTCAAATTATATATAAATAATGTTTTGCTAGGTTAAATCATAAATAATGAACATCACTCCACCAATTATTTATATATAATTGTTAGAAACAAAACTAATTATATGTATATAATGAACATATGTTAAATTATATATTAAATAATGAATTATATGATTATAATTTTGTTAAATAATTAAAGTAAATTTGGCGCCTCATAGGCCTCTACTTCGTTAATTGGCGTCCAAACGTCTGGATATCTAGGCTATTCTACTACTAGGCGATGAGTTGTTATATATATACTCTTTGGTTGTACTTAGGTGAATTTAGGACTGTAAAACTAAGCCTCGACTTAAGAAAAAAAATTATTAGTTTATCACCCTCGCCCGCATGTCTTTTATGGTAGTAAACAGATAAAAAATGGGCCTACTCTTACTTTCTTACGAACATCGCTGTCATACTATCTTATAGCGTAGGCTCACCCATGGTATTGTGTTAATATAAATTAAACTGGGGCCAGGCCTTGTAGGCTTACTTCTACTTTCTGGGCGTTAGCAACAGGGAGCATTTTTTATCACTTAATCTCCTTTGTTTGAACAAGCACCAGAAGTAAAGTCTGTCTAAATTTCTTGGTCCCTGCACCTTTTATAGTTTGTTTTTAAAAACAAAATTGAAAAGCTTGATAAAATCAATTATTTCAAGTGAGGGCTATCCTAGAATCCAGATTGTTGCATACGTCCACCACATGCATACAAATGATCATGGCACTACTAGTGGTAGTAATTTTCTCTTTTTAAACTACAAATTTTCAAATGAATGACAGTTTATTCATGGTTCATATGCCCAAAATGCACATCTGCGATTTATTGGGAGTTTGCAATGTATGCTTTATTATTGTCGTAGCTGCGGTAATTTCATTACATGATTTTGAGAAAACAACATAATGCAGTGGGCCAACGCCAAAGTCCATTTCTTAATTAAAGTGTGAAGTGACGCAAGGGTCCAGGGAAACTAATTGATAGAAACTCATCATTTGCATAATACCTCAGGTTTTACGTCCGAGAATGGTTTTTCTGAAAGGTGAGTTCTGCACAAACCACCTGTGGATACAATACCGGTAAAAACCCTATGTAATTTTTTTCCCGTTTTCGTCCGAACACACCCCTAAAACTTCCATTATGTTGAATATAAACATGTCTTTTGCCATCAGTTTGATACATAATTTAGCTCTCTATGACAAATGGTTAACAAGATAGCATTTTTTGTGATTTTTTTCCCAAAAATAAGTGAAAATCACTATTTTCTCATTATAACCTGTATGTGTGAAGGAAAATCAAAATTCTTTTTGATATATGTGTTTTGACAAAAATCTGAAGTATTTCAAATTAACATATTGGTAATTAATCAAAATAGAAATATGAAATTTTATGGAAAATATATGGAGTTTTTCCAAAAATAATTGCCAAAATGACATTTAGTGATAACCACTATTTAGTATGATCCCTCAGCTTTAAAATTAGCATAATTCCAATAATTTTGATGCCTGTTTTCTACTGCTGTGCCCTAAAATATAGATATTGGTCAAAAAGTAGTTCATCGACCTCTGACCTCAAAGCGCACCGCTCACAATACTTAAGACTTGGTGTTCCAGATGTACCACGGTATGTTCCACACAAAAATCATATTAAGACAAATGGTAAAATATTTGCACTAATTCGACTCATCTCTCAGACTACCAGTTGCACTCACTGTGGATAAGGAGTCAGACAACTATGCAGGTTAGCAATACAAATGTAGATATACTACGGTTTGAGTTCGAATGAATATGTTTATAAAATGTCTCATTCGATTCTATAAAATATAGAAAAAAATCATAAATACAATATTAAACAACATCTATACCTCAATAACCTTAATACACATAGACATAAACGTTAATGATAAATTTACTTAACACAACATATGGTAATTACCAAAACACAAAACTTGATCATCCCAATGGGGACATACAGTGGCGTATCTGGAGTCTTGAAATGGGGGCTGATGGGGAACAAGAAGGTGAAGTGGGGACTTGATATACAAGTAGGTGAGGGGTGCTAGATCACAAAATAAGGTAATTTGAGTGATTTTCAACTACAGTATTTCAGCGTGATTTTTAGGGGCGACTGAGGTGGCGTGAGTATTTTTTAGGGGTGTGCGCCTCTCCGTGATACCCCACTGGGGACAATATGTTTTTCTCTCAAACAATTATTATCATCTATATTTATCACCAGTGGAGGTGTGTCTCAATACCGAAGCTACTATCGTGTGCTTTTGGTTATTCAGAATTCTACAAAGAATGTTCGGATGTCTTGTGGAACAATCGTGAATGTAGTCCCTGTTAGAGCTCCCTCTACTTGATCTGAAAAAAAAAAATTTTACCATTTTATTTTGTTGAATTTTATATGATGAATTATATTAATCATTTTCATACATATACCAATATTGTCAAAAGTAGGCTCTAATAATACAGCTAACTGAAAAAGCCTACTAAATCATTTGTAGTTATTGCAATACTGTTTATAATCAGTGGCATAAAGTGTTAATTTATTTTCAGGGCAAAAACTGGAATCTAGAATCAAGGATGGGTTTCAGGTTGATGTTTACTACAGATTCAGTAGAAGAGTAATACTTATGTATAGACCTAGAGCTTAGTTAGCCTGGTCGGCCAATTTATATGCAGAGGGCTCCAACTGTTCTCAGGAACCAGGGCCCGCGAAACCTAGTTATGCTACTATTTATATCACTGTTATCATTATCTGTTATCCTTTATATTATCATCTTCATCATCATTAACATTACTATTTTACATAGTTTTAACTAGGTAAACTCAACCCTTTAATAAAACTCATAGACTATGATATACCTGGCCACCGCACAAAGCAATTTTTAATTTCTATTCATTTTGTTTACTAAGGGCCGGTTGCCTATAGTTTAAACAAAGTTCCTGTGTAAGGGAGGTTAGGAAGGTAATATTATTATCCATCACTTACATGGAGTATTAGTAGAGCCACATTCATCATTTGTGTTCCATTTCCAACGATTTAAATCTTTTTTCGACCAAAGTCCAGTTAAACTACGCTCATCAATAACTGATATCTTCCCAAATGTTGCCAGCAATTTCTATGAAAACAACTGATTTATTTAATACAAGATTTTATCTTCATGTACATGATTTTACAACTTCCATCATCATCACAATCTTTCTTCTTTATCATTTCCATCATCATCAGTATCATCATCTTCATCTATATCATAATCATTATTGACCCTGTTGTCATTGCCATCACCTTCACATCATCGCCGTCACCTTCACATCATCATCCCTTTGTCGTTGCCACCACCGCCACCATCATCATCCTCATCGTCGTCACCACCATCTCACTGGTTTTCTGTCTGATATCTCATCCAACTGAACTCATATAAAATGATGAAAAAGGATATAAGCAGCGCAATCTATCCTTCTTCGTTTTATAGAGGGCGATATAACATAATACATAGCAATTACCACCCCCATCCTTATAATTATCATCAGCATAAACCACCATCATTACCATTACATGACCATCACATATTCATTAGTTATGGGAGTACCTGGTTAATTCTTACCTGGGCATCTATGGCAACTGCCTTCGACATTGAAGGGTGTTCTCCCTTCGCATACAAATGATGGAACCGTACCATCAATCTTTTTGTATTCACTGTCAATTTCCATTTCTGTATTCCATCTGCGAGATACAAAAACAATTTATCATCTTAAATTTAAATAACAATGTATAATGTAATAATGTATTTTGCTATATATATTTGGTACTTTCTGAGACTATCTAAAAGGCATGTATTAACTAAAATTCTGTATGATTTAGGAGACTTTTGTTAGAGCTTCTTGTTACCATAACACATCCAGCACATCTGACTTTTGACCTGAGCACAGACAAAAGTCATTTGATTCCAAGAACATGTTGCTATTTAAACTGACCAAAGGCCTTTCTATTGTAAAAAATATAGCTTTGGTATACTAAAGAAAAGGCTCTCAGTTTCCCAAAGTAACAATATGCATTTTCAAATTCTATTTTAAGTTTCCTGCCTTTTCTAATGATGGTTTCTTTGACTTTTTCTATTTGTTTCAAGTGATTACTGTCGTAGTTCCAGCCCGGTGTCTTCAATGTTAACAAGTGAACATTAGCAGGAAGGTCTGCAGCAAGGGTGGAAAAACGAGTGTTGAACAGTTCACACCATTTGGTTATAAATGCATGAGTTGTCATATCTAGGATAATGAATAAAAAAAAATGTCATAGAATTTCATGTACAGTAAGACTTGCATGGTACCCATCACCAGAGCTGCCTTCTGGAAGACAATTTTTAATAAAGTAGTAAACACATGCAAAATATCATGAATTTGCAGGAAATGGGTTAGTTTCCCGGGTGATTTTTGGTTTCTCGCGAGAGTGTGGGAGGTCATCTCAATTTCCGGGAGACTCCTGCAGCATTTTCCCCTCTGTCAGACAGGCCTGGACCCCAGCAAATCGTCCGACAAATAATAATGTACCTATTCAACGTTTGCCAAACCCTAATACTGTGGTCTAAAAACAAAATTTGGGCCATACTAAGCCATAAAAACTCTCCCCACGAACCTTACCCAGGATTTCAATTCCAGGACCCAGACCAAAGATCTAGTAGGCCCTTGGGTCAAACCCCCCTGTAGGACATTTCAGACCCCCTATCAACAAATTTCTGGAGCCAACCACTGAATATGAACGTAATTACTTAAAATTGTAGGGGATCAAACCATTAGCTTCATAGTACAGTAGTTAGAAAATGTAGATAACAACAGCAGTACCTTTTCTGGAGTGAAAAAATCTAGCAGCAAGATCTTCTTGACTATAATCAACTGACATCACTAATGGTGGGTTCTCCAGTTGGAGTCTAGACTGGTGTTGGAGGAGACTCAAATGTGTCTTGTTGCCAAGTAAAAGCCAAAGCCTAGGCTGCACAACTGATGAATCATTCAGTGTCAGGTTGAAATTATGATCTTCAAATTCATTGTTCATCAGTCGACGATGTAGCATAATCTAGATTTAAAAACAGGTTGTTGACATCGTCAGCAAATAAAACACAGCTTGATTTTATTAGGAAAGTAAAAATAATTGATATTCAATGAGATTTTTTGACCTGTGATAACTAAAGTTTTAATGGCAAAAGGAGAGAATTTTGGTGCTTTATAGGAAAATCTCTCTTAACTCCCAACTATTTCAAATTAGGTTGTTATATAAAACAACAGACTAAAGAATAATTTTATACATTAACATGCAGGGATAATGAAATTTAAAATATACAAGTTTATGTCAAAACAACAATTTTTATAATACATTTTGCTTTACAGTAAATTCTAGTGTTTCAAGTGATCAATTTTAAACTAATAAACTTAATTGGTGACAATATTTAATAAGAACAGGGAATCATTCAACCTGCAATCAGTTTGAATGTGTCTGAAATGAGACATTTTGTTGTTTTTTTTCGCTGCGGAAAAGGGGCCCAAAGTTTTCGATCAATTTTCGTATGAGAATCAGACAATTTATCGGAAAGATCTCTGAACGTGAAAATAAATAACCTTTGACCGATTTTCAAATCATGGCCATGCCTAGTAGTTGGTAGGCTTAGGGGCCTACTGTAGGCCTACTATCAAACACTTCATTATAAAAAGTGAGTAAATTTTTCATGCTTATTAAATATAAAAAAAGCCTGAAAAGACTTGTGCTTGATGTCGAAGGCGCCTGGCTGGACGTTGTCCATCTATAACTATTGTTTATTGTGCTGTAAAGCACACTAAACAAAGCTAGCATTCTTTTTCATCTTCTTCTCAATCCCTATATAGAAGTACAATGAAACATCATTGCAACACAGTACATTTCCCAGAGCGAAATAATACAGCACGATTTCATTTTTTGGCCTAGGCCGATCCATCTCGCGCAAAAAAAGAGTCACCTGCTAGGTCAACAAAACGGATATCTTGGTGTTAAACACATTGCATTGTTGTCCATAATTTTGCATGATGGGATAAAATAACTGGACGGAATTTAAAGATAATTTATCAGAGAAATTGTAAGTGGTGCAGAAACAACCTAAAATATTTTCCCGAGCTCTCAACCCTACAAACTCACAATTTACCAAGGCAAACTACCACAAGCGAAAAAGCGAACAATGAGCACATAAAAATTTAACTGCGCATGCATGCAATTAAACGCTTTCGCCTCAGATGAATAAATTTGCCGGAGTGAAAAACGGCTTAACAATTTGTCTTGTGTTGCCTCATTACAGTTTTCAGGGGATCTCATCATTCAAAAGTTGCTTGTGGTGTCAGAAACTTTGCCCAGAGCCTCCTTATTCTCAGATAGTCAATTAATAAACATGATAAATAAGGTAATTAATAGTCATTACAGATGTTTAAAATTATTATGTATATTTTAATCATGGTAACATTTGCTGACCTCAATCTCACCATCACCAAGGCTGCTCACACCGTGTGTTCGTTCTGAGAGGGCGGTAAAACGGATGTCTGATTTCACATCTTCAATAAATGCAGTCGACACCATTGGATAATAGTTCTAGAACAAATTAACAGATGAAACAAATAAATTCAGACAAATAATTATAATTATTCTTGACACAAATGTTCTCATTGTAAAGTATAAAATGCAATAACATTTGTTAATACATGACTCAAGATGAATATGTAAATATGTGTACAACTCACTTCACAGGAAATTTTATTTAAATTTAACATCTTAAATTTAGACCAATGTATTACACTAAAAAGACAATCAGAAAAAGTGTATAGTTAGATTAATATTAATTAAAAATAATAATGATAATGGTATAATATAATAAAAATAATAAAAACAACAATAATTATTATTATAAATAATGACACTACTAGTAGTAACAATAGTAATAATAATAAAAATAAAGTTAATTATAATGACAAAAATGAGACTGATGTTTGACTAAATCTGTTCTGTTTACAGGCTTGCTTTTGTTATTTGAACGAATGGAAATAAATATTTGATTTGATTTGACTGTTCATTTCAAAGTAATTTAAGTTATCTTTTCTATGTCTATGATCAGCTATTCCATACCTTTTGTTATCATCACCACAGCTTCATATGACAGCACCATGTACGTGATGGTAGCAGTCTCAGACTCATAAAAGGTTACATAGTAATAAAGATCTTAAAATGAATACCTGCGCAATTGGTTCTGACACATTGTAGCGAGGTGGTCGCTTCATCATCTGATATGCATTCTCATCAGTGTACAGAGTACGACCATTGTGGACACTAGTAGTAAACCTTTCCAAGTATAGAGTATTAGATTATCTCATGAATAAGATAAATATGATAATTATGTCATGAAATATGCAAATTAGTTTTCTAAAAAACATTGTCATCGTTGAATAAGATACCGTTAAGCCCTGTCCAGAATAATAAACAATTAGTAGAGCTGCATGTAATGTACACTAGCGGAAAATTATTATACGAATGTTACATTTTTGAATGCATTAAATCTAACCTAAGTATAATGTTTCGCTAGTGCATGATACATGCAGCTCTACTAATTGCTTTATAAGTCAATTGCCCGTCTTTTAATGTTAATTTTGATAAACAACTGTTGCAGCAGTCATCGGCTGTTATGCTGATATGATTCGTATAATGTGGGCGTATTTGCATTTAGCTGTGTGTATGCTGACTTGTGCTCCTGCAGTATGTGTTAACTCACAGACATTGCACATCAGCAGTACAGTACGGATATTGACTATTGCAATTTGTATTAAGTTAGGAAAACTTGTTTGCAATGCTATTTTGATAGACATTCGTCAAAGAAATAAACATTTCTTAAAGCATTAAAGTGCAATGTTTTTATATGTAAGCTAGGCTATGGCCTGGTCTGAAGTCGCTTCATCATCTGATATGCATTCTCATCAGTGTACAGAGTACGACCATTGTGGACACTAGTAGTAAACCTTTCCAAGTATAGAGTATTAGATTATCTCATGAATAAGATAAATATGATAATTATGTCATGAAATATGCAAATTAGTTTTCTAAAAAACATTGTCATCGTTGAATAAGATACCGTTAAGCCCTGTCCAGAATAATAAACAATTAGTAGAGCTGCATGTAATGTACACTAGCGGAAAATTATTATACGAATGTTACATTTTTGAATGCATTAAATCTAACCTAAGTATAATGTTTCGCTAGTGCATGATACATGCAGCTCTACTAATTGCTTTATAAGTCAATTGCCCGTCTTTTAATGTTAATTTTGATAAACAACTGTTGCAGCAGTCATAGGCTGTTATGCTGATATGATTCGTATAATGTGGGCGTATTTGCATTTAGCTGTGTGTATGCTGACTTGTGCTCCTGCAGTATGTGTTAACTCACAGAGCTAGCGACATTGCACATCAGCAGTACAGTACGGATATTGACTATTGCAATTTGTATTAAGTTAGAAGAACTTGTTTGCAATGCTATTTTGATAGACATTCGTCAAAGAAATAAACATTTCTTAAAGCATTAAAGTGCAATGTTTTTATACGTAAGCTAGGCTATAGCCTGGTCTGCATCTAATTTCGTTCCTGAGCCTTTAAAATATGTCTAGAATATCCCTATTAAACGTTCAGTTTGTTTAGTTTATGGTCCATTGATTAAAGGAATTCCTTAATTGTTCGTACTTAATGTTCAATTTGAAGAAACTTTCTTCGTGTTCTAATTAACCTTGTTTCATGAAAGTAATTTTCAATTAGGTATTTTTTTTGCACACGAACCTAAAAAAAAATCAAGCCAAGCTATGTGAATTATTATTGTACTGTGGGGAATAGGCAAATAACATTGGGAGTTGCAGTGATGACATCAAAATTGACGTATAACAAATTTTATTTGACAAAAACATGTGACACTATGGACACTAGTAATAAACCTGTACAAGAAATTTACGAGGACCATTAGATTATCTCATGAATATGATAATTACAATAATTATGTTATGAATAATATGCAGATCAGTCCTCTAAAAAACACTGTCATTGTTTAATAAGGTACTGTCCAGAATATTAAATTTTGATCAGAAAATTTGATAATCAGGACGGAGATTTATGTCTTAATGAAACAAATAACCTTTCCTACCTTGTAACAAGTTCCTTGTTCATCAGAAGTGGTCCCACCTTCAAGTCCATTTCAAGGCGGTTACAAATTAGGTTGTCATAGTGATCAGGAATTGTATATAGACGGAGAGTCACCATATATCTTGGTTTATCTTCAGAAAGGCTGGAAAAAATACAAAATTAACAGTAAATAAGAAATGGTAATAATGAAAATGGGCATATTGAAAATATTTGTTGAATACTGAAAAATAAACTTACTTGTAAAAGCTTTGTCGAATTTCGTGAACTAATGCGCCATTGAGAATATCCAACACAACCTTTTGACCTACAACCTGGGCATTTCCTTTTGGTCGGAATATGTAGTTGTTAGAAACCTGTCCATTGGCAACATCAGTATGAGAATCATATTCCATGAAGATATTCTGAAATTTCATTTGTTTTCCAGATTCTCTAAATAGGGAAGAAAAAATTAATTAGAGCATATTAAAAAAATTAAGGCCATTTTTTTTTGTAATGATTTCCAATCAAACATCACAACTGACTAATGAGAACAGGCGCGTGTCCCACAAAGCACATGTGTTTTCGCACATGTTTTTACACTGTCAATTTGTGGGACTGTAAAAAAATATCCAAGGAGTGGGGCTTTGCTAAAAAGTCCATAAGGTGCCATTTTAAGTGTTAGTTACAGTATACAAAAACATATTTGTGTGCTTATGTCTGTTCCAAACTGATGGTAAGAGGGTGTTATCTAACTAACTGTTAAGTTACCTAAATGCTCACCCTGGCTGCGTTTGTGTGAGGGTCTGTGTGAATTATTGAGATGCAATAGGTCATTAGTAAAGAACAGTCTGGTTGTCTAAAGAATGTATACAATATTCTACACCAAGACCAGCCCTAACGATAGGATACACAGGAAAAGAAGACTGCAAATAAACCCACCACATTGTGGCGTAACAACTCTTACTTCAGTGTTATAGACTCCAGAAGGTTGGTTGATTTATCAACTGTAATCTTGTAGCATTGGTTGCTAATAGCAACAAATGTCTTGCCCGCATGGTTACTTCTTCCTTTTGATTTTTTTGTCGGCTTCAACTTACGATAGGCTATAGATGAAGTCACATGTGATTGATGTGTGTGGTGGTTGCTATGGTAACCATTTCCAATAAAGTAAGTTGTATAGCCCATTGCTGGTACATCAGCAAAGAAGAACAACTGATAGTGATCATCCTTGTTGAAAGGGGGTACTATCTATAGAAGAAAAAAATGCATTTAAATATAAGTAAGAAAGAGAATAACGAAAAAGATAAACAAAAAGGATAAAAAATATATATATTTTGAGGACCTAGGCATATATAAACATATGTACCATTTTGATCAGGCATCCAGGCTCTGGTATGATTGTTCTTGTGTTAAGGTCAGATAGAATTATGTGTATTGAACTGTATGTTAAGACTTGCGGTTTACTTATATCTAAGATTCATGCAAAAGGAAAAAAAAAATTTTGAATTTTTTGTTGTGATCAGAAGAACGATATTAATCATCATCATTTGCATGAAAACAAACATCAAGTTTATGAATACGAATAAAAAACAAAACAAAACAAAAACAAACTTAACAATGCTTGACAGCCAAAGAAAAGTCATGCCATGATTATGATTATATGAGTCAGTAACTGATGTTGTTTATACCACCATATGAGTGGTTTAAATATGCTTGTCTGATTGTAAATTATCTTTTATTACAACGACTATGTAAGAGGACATCCATTGGTATATGTCTCTGACGGAATATCTGATATGTAAAACATATGTTATGGATAAATAAAAGTTGTAAATGTATCACAAAAGAGAGAGAGAAAAAAAAAGATGATGATGTTGATGATGCTGTAAATGATGCTAATGATGTTTTTAATGATAATGTTGAATGACAATGATGAAGAGGATAATGATGATGATGATGATGATGGTGATGATGATGGAATGATGATGCAATGATGACAATGATAATATTCACTATAATATTATGATGATGATTAAGATGATGATGATGATGACATAATGATGATACAATGATGATGATGATGATGATGATACTACTGCTGATCATGTTGACAATAATTATAAAATCAAAATTACAGTAATACACATATCAGTAATATATAATATAATTAAAAATACAAATAGGCATACAAAATTTAAGGAAACTACTAATTAATAATAATATTACTGAAAAAATATAAATTATGAAGAACAATCAGTTACACACACCTGAGCAGGAACCCTTTTACCATCTGCATCCTTGACAGAGATATTCTTGCCTGTAACGTTCAGCCTGATGGTTCTGTTCATTGACCAGCCAAGGGGATTGTAAACTATGATGGGCACCGGTTTTGTAGAATCCTTTAATACTTGAAGTGCACCTATGGATAAAATAAATATTTTCCACAAAGCTCAGCTAAATATAGTTGATTAACCGACCTTAAATGTTTGCACATTCTAATCAGAAGATGGTGGTGAACATACATGCAGTTTAAATGCAAAATTTGAAGGATGATGATGCACATTCATCAAGAGCAAACTCTTCTTTTGCCATGGCCATGCACCTTGTGAGACAACAACCTTGTGAGGCCAGCTGAGCTGAGAATTTTATCAAGTGTGGTTTGGATTTAAGCAAACTCCCTGGATAAGCAGTAGAAACCTTGTTATGATATTGAATGAGCCAACTACGGTACATTTCCACAATCATTATAATTGAAAAATGCATCAAGTGTATACATAATAAAAATGATATACATCATACAGTGTATCCTGTCAGTAAGTCTCTTAATGAGGCTTAAGCTTGGTTTCCATACAATCGCTACACGCAGTCACCGACAGCTTTCAGTGCTGCTGATTGGTCAGTCGAATCGGGGAGCCTTCCCGTTTGTGTGCTACACAGTACGACTGCACTGAAAACACTGCAGCAACAATGTTGCGATTTTAAGGAAACCAGGCTTCAGTATTTTGTATTTTTATATTTTACCACTTATGGCCTTGCACGGCCTTGATGAAAAACACCCTTGGGTGATCAAGTTTTTCCGTGTTTAAATAAATAAATTATTATTATTATTATTACAGAAAGGCCAACCACCAAGTTATTCACACCAGTTTCTTTAATAAGGAGCTTTCGATTTGTGCGACGACACGACGCTAGAACGGAATCACTCATGCATGTCCGTCCTACCTGGCGTCCTACTTCTCTGCATACATAGATTTGGCCGAAATTTGTTCCAGAATCTGCTCGACGAGGTGACCTTAACGTTCTCGCATATGACTTTTAGTGATGTCATTACGTTCTACGTCCTACCGTCGTCGTGCAATCAAAAGCTCCCTAATACGGACAAAATATTAAATTAAATACCACTGTTTTTATTTCCAAGGACATGAACTTTAAACTTGACTTCCTGTTTAGCATTCCTACTGATCAACCCTTCAATCATTTCTTCAACTGCATCTCTGACACCATCAGCTGATGAGCTCAAATGTGACACATACATATCACGTACAACAGGTGACTCAGTTCCAGTCACCCCATCATGGTGTTGAACCTAAAAAAAATGCATAGCATTACAATTCAGTTATTAAAATAGATGATGGGCTATTAGTATGGACAAATTTAAATTCAAATGAATTATTATAAAAATAACAGCACAAAAAAAAACAAACTGGGCCTCTATCCCACTTGAGAAAGTACATAGATAAAGTGCAGCATAGGTAAGAATGCTATTGAGTTTTGATATGCGACGAAGTAGAACGTGGAATGTAATGATGTCATGTTAATTTAATTGCGCATGTCTAAATGTTGTCACGTTAATTTAACTATGCATGTCTGAAAGGTTATCGGCCGAATCTACGTTCAGGCCAAAAAGAGGAATGTACTGTATTAAATATTGGTGCATCAGTAGCTTTGCCTTTGTAACACATCCGAGTACGCCCCGTAAGAAATTGAAATTAATTTAAAACAGAATGTAGAATGCATGCGACAACAGTCACAGATGAGTGAATCCATTCTATGCTTCTATTCTATATGTTCTCAACCAATAGCTCCCTAATCTACACAACCTGGCCACAATGCATTGAAAACTTCACAAGGAGTATGACACAGGAAGAGCACGCAACTTTACCTATGGAAAAATTACTAAATTATTTACAAAAACTTAAGCTTGAGAAAGTAAAGAATAGATAAAATCAAGATGTCGTACCTCTGCAGATGCCCATCGAAGTGCTTTCAACTTTTTGAGTGCGACTGTCTCATTTATTGTTGTGGTGACATTTGGTAAGTGAGTGTACATTGAAAAGAGGCATTCTCCTGCATGTAGCAGTGATTGGCTATGCCTTGCCAAGCCCTTGAGAAAGTTTCTGGATGTGTAGAAACCTGTCCAAGCTTCATGAGGTCCTACAATGCCAATGATATTAACAATAACAACAATAATCAATTCAATTTAATCATTAAAACAATAATATAGTAGCAATATTTTATAACCAGAGACTATTCATGATGATGATGTTGTTGTAGATGATGTATTTAATGATGATGATGATGATGATGATGATGATAACGATGATGATGATAATGATGAGAAAGTTGATGACGATGCAATGATGACAATGATAATGTTCACTATATTATACTGATTATGATGATAACATAATGATGATACAATGATGATAATGATGATACTAATGCTGATCATGTCGATTATAATAATTATAAAACTACAGTAATATACATAATTGTAATAATAATAATAATAAAAATAATAAAATTGAAAATTATGTAAAATAAACCAACAGCAAGTAAAAGGAATCTACAAAATTCTGCATTCACCTGAGGAATAAGGTACAAAGTCACCATCACTCTTCACATCCCATGATACATTAGTAGCATGAAGAGCTTCAAAGTACTCCCCCAACGTTGCGTATTTAACAGAAACACCGTAGTCAGTTGAGGCCTCTTGAATGTAGGCTAGCAGCTTGTCCATATTCTTAAACTGTATGGTAGCATTAAAGAACTGTTTATCACACCCCTAGAATGAAAAGTGGGAAAATAAAAACTTTTCAAAGTTTGTTTACAACTAAACCTTTACTATTTTATTTAATTTGTAGGTACACACGGACTGGCCTGGTACTGGTACAAGCATTTATAATGCGCCTCTTCCTTGAGGTTATAAAGTGCACTTCTGGTATTAAATCAGCGCAGGAGCAGCAACCCCACCATGTAGCCATTTATACTCCTGGGTGGAGAGAAGCAATGCAGATAAAGTGCCTTGCTCAAGGACACAAGCAAAATGCACAGCGAGGGATTGAAACCAAGACCTCAAGTTTGGGAAACCAAATCGTTCCCGCTGCCCCAAACCGCTTCCACATATCATAGAATGATGTTTTTTTTCTATTTTCTTCAGTTCAAAAATAACATTTTCTTGTTCTCAGATTGACACATGAGGTATCCCTTATATTTCACAGTTGATATGATTTGGTTCTTTCCAGCCTATTGTACAAAGAATGTACTGAACACAGGAACAACCCAATTGCATTGATTTAGAACAGATTAACTTGACAGCAATGTTTTCTGAAAGGCTGTTTCTTTGATTCCTGCAGCAGATATGTTTTCTTTATATTCTACCAATATTACTTAATATTACTTTTAATTTCATTGCTTCGTAAACAAAAAAAAAATGAGTTGCTTCAATCTCTCCATTATAAAAATGTGTAATATGTGAACAATTTGTGTGATGAGTCCATATATGGGAATGATATTATGTCATATTACATATCACATTTTTTTCAGACAAAAGTTGATAGTGTTAAGAGCAAATTTTAAAGGACATTTTACTTTAAAATATCTCAAGTAAACGTGACCGGCTCTGGCAAAACCAGCCATTTGTATGAAAAATTTAAAATTGAGTTTTTGGTGTTAAAACAGTGTTGGTGTTAAAACAGTGTATATTTGATGGAAATTGGTTGAGTACAGTATTAGCAAAATTATGAATATTTAATTCTTTGGATATCACAGCCATTTAATTTTTGAGAAAACAGCTTCCAAAGATTCCAAAATTCAATTTTTTACTATTAAGATTTGCATTTAAAAAAAATAATTTTAATATACTTTTCAGTAAGATTTAGTGACTGATATTTTGCAGAAATGTTCTTCAATATATGAGGCATGTCGTGGCGAAATGGTTAGGTTGTCGCACAGTCCAGTATTGAGTAAATGAGCTATAAAATATTGGAGCTCAAAAAATTGTCTAAAAAATCCAAATTTGTTTTTCACTATAGATCTAAAATTTAATGTCTTATTAATCCTGTCCCAATGTATTTGTTCTGAAGGTGGTCAACAAATTGTTTATTTAACGTTATTTTGATAGTTCATTCTATTAAACAATGTATGCACAAATAACTTTGAAAGGCAATTAACCAAATAATGTTTATCTGGACTCTAAAGAGTACTGCACTTTCACTTTCCATTAACTTAGGCTTGAAATGTCCAATTTCAATGAATGACCCCTCATTTCAAAGATCACATACTCAGGTATCTGAAAATACCAATAACTTGAATTTCAATTTTTGCTACAACTTAGCCATTTTGCCACAACATGTCTCATATCTTTTTTTATAAAATGCAAAAACATGAACATTTTCAATATTCTGATTCTCAAAACATTTTGGGTGCTTAAAGGAAATAAAAAATTGTGACAAATGGCGAGTTTTACCAGAGCCAGTCTCAAATATTCTAAAACAAAGAATATAAACACACATCACAGGTTCATACCCATGGCCAGAGGACATTATTTGTTTTGAACCATGCTGCTCTCTGTTTGATATTTCCAACCATTACATCAGCATATTGTTTCAGGTTGTCTTCAGTGACAGGTAAGCTCATATTGGGGTATATACCATCGCTGGGTGGGTCAGGGAACACTGCAATGCCATTCCAATAAAATCCAGATCTGTAAAATGAATACTGGTATACATTAAAAAAAATATTTAAATAATAAACATTAATAACACTTCGGGTAATATACTTTTAACTATGTTTGTCTGTCACGGTGGGGCTGATGGGAAGAAAGGGAATTAATGTGGAAGTTAGAGGGCAAGTTGAGCTGGAAAAGTCAGCCATCTGAATATTTCAAACTTTTTTTAAATATTTTTTCTTGGTTCTATTGAATCATAATGTCTTGCATAACCTTCTAATGATTTTTTTTTTATAGTCTCTTATATCATGCATTATCTGTTGCACATAATTCCCTACAGTACATTTTCCATGAAAAGAGCTACAGTAATTTGGCCATTCGCAATCAGGCTGCATTTTAATGTCAACTACTTGAATGGATAAATTACTATCATGACTTTGAACTACTATCCCAGTAACAGAATCTCTTATATTAGTAATTTGCATACATCATATATCAAGCTCATAAAAGTTGGTTCAGCCCTGTGAATGTAGGATTAAACCATGGATAAAAGTTATAAATATTTCAGCTGCTCCAAATTTCTTTCCTATTCTTATTTCATCATGCTTCTTCCATATTTTTGTTACATTTAATCAATTTTTCTAAATACATATTTATTCACATAACATTTATATAAATATATTATTTTGATACATATTTACATAATTTTAACTGGACTCTAGAACTATAGGTTGTGTATACATTGTGTCTGTATTTAACATATTTCAATCTTTTTGTTTTACTAAAATATTATCAAATATTATTATGAACTTTAACGATTACATTATTTCATATAATATATTTTTCAAATAAATATCTAAACAATTTTGATTAATTAAATATAAACTCTAAAAGTAAACTTATGTAGATTAAATCAATAAAAATGGAATATTATTAATCCTTATCTATTTATTAACAAGAATAACATTTTCAATCTTCTAATCAAATTTATATATAGCCAGAGTTAGTTTCGACCTAGGCAAACCTTGCTAAAATAAAAACTTTCTCCATCAAAAGGCTTTTTCTATGAATGGAATGACTGGTCCTGTTCGAAACATGAACTCCTGTAGACCCAACCCAATATTGTACGACTTTTTCCAGCACATTCAATAACAATAAATCTGTGTTGAGCTAACCATGGACAAAGAAAACTAATTTAATTTAATAATTGAATTACTTTTTTGTTTATTTCAATTTAGATTTTTTTTTTTTTTTTTGGGGGGGGGGGGAGAATTGTTAAACAACTGGCCTTTCTTCCAAACTACTCTAGGTAAGGTAAAGATAGTCCTGTATTCATTACTGAATGTAGGGGAATGAGCTGTTCGCCCATCATACTAAGCTTCGGTATTGTGTGGAGGCTGACCATTCCTTTAAATGCTGCCTTTTCCTCCCCAGTAGAGAACCAACGGTTAACCATTTATACTTCTGGGTGAAGAGAGACAAAAGTAGGTAAAGTGCCTTGCCCAAGAACACAAGAATGAAAATGAAATGCACAGTGAAGGTTCGAACCCCGACCTCGAGAGAGAGAGAGACCGAAACGCGACCACTGCGAGTGACTGACTGAAACGCTAATACACCTAAATAATACTGCTCCTTTATTCTTTCCCTGACCCTTAAACTTTTAGTTAGCAGTCAGTTGTGGACAAGCTCATAACTTGCTTCTCCCCTAAGGGTCTCTTCATGACTGAGCTACCCGTTAAACTGGTACCAGCTACTCTGTATGTCCACAACAGGGGCTGTATATGGACCAGTACACCTTTAAAGTGCACATGAGCCAAATTGTGTACACTGGGCCTATGGTTTATAGTCCTTATCCGAGAAGGGTGTGTCTAAGGCATAGTACCGCATATACAAACCTGTTTGAAAAGGGGAGATCTGATGGAACACAATAGCTATAGCTATCCATAACATGAGTGAATATTTCTCTTGAGGCTCCAAATGATTTTGTACTCTGCCAAACAAACTGAAGGCCCTGTATAATACAGATATATAGAAATTAATAAGACAAAAGTTCAAAGGATAATCCTATCTTTCAAACACTGAGATGCAATGTGTGACAGCAAGTCATGAGAAATTGCTGATTTTTTACATTTTAAACAAAAATATAATTTATGAATATGCGAAATTTATGAAGCTGAAAGATTGCTCATATAAAAATGGTCTAATATAAAATTTCCTGCTATCAAAATAATGAGTAATTTTACTCATAAACCATAAATTAAAAATAACAAAAAACATTAACAAAAGTAATAATAAAAATAAATATAATAATGATATTATTATACATTGCAATTTTATATCAGAAATGCTAAGAAATAACATTAATATGCAGATTTAGCAACCTTATGAAAACAATAACAAATACATCCTCTTCATTATCATCATTTGTGCCTAAAATATTCTTGACAATACAGATACAAGCTGAAAATGATTGTTCATTCATGTAAATGGCATGAGTGGCCTAGTGACAGATAGGGATGGATTGACTATACATTTGATGGGGAAAAAAAATTTGTTATCGTTATTGTAAGCTTGCGAAACCCTCTAATATTTAGTAAAAATGAAAATGATTTATATTTATTCTAATTTTATGTAAAGCAATTAGCTATAACAATAATAATAATGATAGAATAATACTATAAATATTACATATCATACAGTATAACAATAATACTAATAAAATATAATAGTGATTATATCATTATTTTATAGCATTCATATATCATCTTATTGCTTATTAAATTCTTACTTTGTTTTTCATCATTGCCTCCTTTTTATCATAATCTATTCGTGATGTAAGATGTGCATTAAATCCAGCCAACGAGAATAATGTTGCCATAGAGGCAGTTGCTCCAAATGGGTCAACATGCCACGAGAACTGAGGTCGAACTCCAAAAGTTTCATAGATAAAAGCATGGCCCTCTGTGTGTTTAGAAATTAATCTACAAAAATGTTAAAGATAGTTTCTATTTCCCCCAGTATTTAAATACTTAATAATTTGTATCTCATTGACCATTACAGAGAGTGGCATATCTAGAAGTCATTAAATGGGGATGCT